GTGTGTGTGTGTGTGTGTGTGTGTGTGTGTGTGTTAGTCAGCAAGTACATAAGCAGCTGGGAGAAAGTTTAGCAAGTTAAGGAGTGTGTGTGTGTGTGTGTGTGTGTGTGTTAGTCAGCAAGTACAAAAGCAGCCAAGCCATACTCATTCTTCCATTTACTTAGATTTCAGAAAATACTCCATCAAAGTTGAGAACTTCTCTCTTCATTATTAACTCATCTACTCTGTAAGCAACAAGATTGTTGGCCTACAGAGTACTTTTCCTCAGTAGTGCAGTCCTGCCTGTCATTGCTGGCTAGCAGCAACAAGGTTGGGGCTTCATAGAGTGCTCTGAAAGGAGTTAATATAAAGTTAGATTGTTGTTTGGATGTTTGTAAGTTTAGTATTTTAATTTATGAAATTGTAAGTGCTCTAGAATAAAACTCAAGTGGATGTGCTAGTGACCAAAATATCTGATAGTTATACTGGGAAATGTCCTGCATTTCAGTCTGATATATTCAGATTGTTCATATGTTCTGTGTATAAGGCTTTAACTTTATTCAAAATATGTCATGTTTTTAACGCTAATACCTAAAACCAGTAAGACAAAAAATAACTTCATGTATATAACTTATAACAATATTTTACAAGCCTAACTCATCAGGCATACATGTTACCTTAATTACATGTGTTCTAAGTCAGCCAAATTTTCACAGAGTTAAAATTGTATTTTAAATTGTACTTTCTTATTTCCAAGGTACAAGAAGTATGGTTTCAAGCGCATTGTAACATTATAGTTGATTTAGCAGTCAGTTTATTTTTATTTCAACTCTTTGCTGTTTGCCTAGGGGATAGTGATCCTAGAAGAATGTCAACTCCCAAAAGATATTTTGAAAAGACAAATACAATTTTCAAACCAAGCAGTTTCATTAAACACTACAAGGAATCCCCAGATTCCTCAAGAGAGTCAAGATCCTTTACCAGAACAAGATTATGAAATGTCACCAAGTAGCCCTACACTACTTCTTCGCAACATAGAAAAACAGGTAATGTTAAGTAAGAGTAAGGTGTGAATGGTATAAAATGACTTTCAATTAGTTTTATTAACTATATAAATAAATGTGTTTGCTGGGGATATTGGTTATTACAGTTGGCCATTTGACATCAAGTACAAGTAAATACTTAGCATATCACTAGTCTATTATAATGTTGATATAATTAAGACGATGTATATATAATATTAAAGTATTAGTACATAGCCACAGGGTAATAACCCATTTATACTAGTGTTGAAAATCAGTACCCTTTCAGTTTGACATTAGTTGTTTCACACTGTGGAATAATGTATTTGCTTGGTCAGTCAGATCATCAGTCAGATCTACTTTCTTTACCTGTAGGTCACTATTTATCCTTTGGAAATATGTTTCTTGTATTTTTTTCTTTCTCCTTGTTAGCATCAATGTGTTGGACCAGAGTTAACATCAGAATTAACTAATTTGCAAGGCCCAGTGCAAAATAAAATTATATAGCTCTTTGTTAAAAACAGTTTTTGAGAGTTTTAAGTCAGTGACAGCAGAGCATTAACCAAGCATGGGTCCCTTCTGAGCTCAGCCTTGTGCAACTGACTGCACAGATTTTGGCCCTGGGTATTATGTTCATTTTAGGTCTCATTGCTGACAGGAGTGACAGAAGTTTTGGTAAAGACAGGAACCAGGAGTTGTGAGAATAATAGTAATTACTCTCAGCATAGTGAAAATAGAGGAAAAGGTTGCAGAAGGGGCAGCAGCATAGGTAATTAGTGAATTGCTCTTGAATCATATGTGCTAATAATATTTCATAGGCCAGTTTTAAAAAAAATAAGAATCTTAGCTCCATTTTCAAATACTTGTTGAAGAAGACAGTCTGGGGGTGAGTTAAGTGGCAAGGGTGGCAGGCCTGATGTCACATCCATTTTTATTGAGACAGTCTATTGGTATAGACAACCTATTGGTATATAATGGTTCACTGACCATAATGGAACTTGAATACAGATCAGGTAATCTTTTGAGTTAATTAAATTAATTGTGTTAGAGGAATGTTTTGCTTACCAAAAAATTTATTTTTGGTAAAATTTATAAAGTATCTCAAAAGTCATTAAAGAATTGGCAGTTAAAATATAAAGGCATTATTGAGTTGTAGATGGGTAGCAATTTTTAAAAATAACTGATTAATGGTATTAATGCATATTTGCATTGTTAGATAATATGTTTTATTCATAAAAAAAGATGTTTTTGTTTTAGAATTTTAGGTAATTTAAAATAAAGATATTTTCATTGTATGTTTTCATTACAAACCTTGTTATCAATAGCCAGTAAGTGTTTTGACTTAAAGTTGATTAGTTTTTGTTTTCAGAATTCAAATTATGCCTCTCCTAATTTTACTTTTATTCTTATTTTTACTGTGAATTTCCTATTCCAAATTATGGACTCAGGAATATGAGATTTTATTGTTCTGGAGTGGAGTAGTTGTTAGAGTTAAGCTAGGGGTCAGTCGTAATGTCCTTCTGGGCCAATTATTCAAACATACCCAAAATATTCAAACATACCTGACTAGCAACCACCAGGGGCTTTGAAGATTTGAGATGATATTTTTGGAGGTGAAACAATTAGAAGAGTGTATCAGTGTTTCAGACTGAAAAATATGAGGTAATTTATAAATTTCTTTGTATGCAAAATGATAAGTATTCATTTAGTAATGAATACTTGCTAAAAGGATGAAAAAATCTATTTGTATTGGTGATTTTGAAAATTAGCTTTAAATATTAGTAATAATTTTTTTAAGTTATTAACTATATTTTTCAAGAAAAATGATGAAAATGTTTAAGTGTCTTTCTCATGAAAAACTTCGAAAAATTCAAATAGTTCATTTAGTTCTGTATTTTTAGTTTCATTTCTAACAGCATGTTTTTAGTTTCATACAAGTAGTTTCAAAATAATTATTTCTTATATCCCTCTATTTTATAATAGAGTATCTTCCAGTAAATAAAAATGATAAAATAAGTCAATGTTTTAAAAAATTTAGTCACACTATATTAAGTGAGAAAAACAGGTTTTAGAAAACGGATGTGGTATGATTAAGAGAGTATGTGTGTGTGTATACACATGCTCATGCATGTTATATATACTCATGCTCCATATATTAAAAAAAGTCTAGAGGGATAAATATATACCAAGATATTAGCAATTGTTTACTCTGTGAATATGATTATATTTTCTTTTTTTACTTTAAAGAAAAGATTTTCTTTTCCTTTTCTTAAACCTCTATTGTTTTTCTTTTTTCTATAACATGGATTACATGTGTAATAAAAGTAATTGTCATTCTTTTGTAGACATTAACTGTTTCCGTTGATGTGACCTGTTTATTATCATTATTGTAGGTGATTGTTTTGAATATACACAAATTATTAAACATTACATATATATCACATTTAAGTTTAGGGTCAAGGTCAATGAAAATTTTGGGTACCTAAAAAAGCTATTTTTTGAATGAAGAAAAACATTGAGAGACACCGTGGCACTGGATTCAAGTCTGAATTTGAATCTTAGCTCCATTTCTTACCAATGTTGTACTCCTTGATGAAGTCCCTAGCTGTACTTGGTTTTAATAATAGTAATTTGAGTAATTCTAAAATTATCTACTTTGCAGTTTAGTTTTCAAAATTACAAATATGCTATATTTTGTTCCTAGTATAGTGCCTGGCACATAGTAGGCACTTAATAAATTTATAGCTATGATTTTGTTATTACTAATTTGTTTGCCTCAAAGAAATATATAGATGTTATTAGCTGAGTTCAAATATTTTAGAGGATAGGATGAGTAGATAAAGGAATTACAACAAAAAAGGAATGTAGAAAAGCAGGAGTAATTTAAAAGGTAAATTTACTTTTTATAAATGGAAAGATCAGTAGTAGTGTAAATCATCTTTGTACATTAAAATATTTAATGAAATATAAGTACTTAATTTTTTCATGAAGTTAAGCTTTTAATAGGCACTAAAGGCCTGAGATTTAACTCACATTTCTTGCTTAGCAGTAGTAAAAGATTGACTGTTTTTTTGCAGAGTGCAGAGTTGACTGAGATCATCAACAGTTTGGTTGTACCTCTCACGTTGTCCCCAGCTTCATCACCCATCTCCTCCAAATCCTGTAGCCATAAATGTTTGGCTAATGGCATTTGCAGGAGGTAAGTATCAGGGAGATAGCTTTGCTTCTAAATTTGGCTTTACTTTATTTTTATTTTGTTTTGATTTTTAAGTATTGTAGCTGCTTTTTTTCTTCTTACTTAAGCACTATTAGAGTACAATTAATAGGCCACATCTTTAGATAACTCCAAACTTTCATGATTAAGGTAACTATAAACCTGAGAATGAGGGAGAAAGCTTTCTGGGAAGTCTTATAATGTCTCTAAAAAAGAAAAAGTTATACCATTTGCTACAGAAATACTACCATAGTTAATAGACTTTCCATTTTGTATGTTTTATAGTCTTCAGCTCCATACTACCCTTGTTAAGTCATTTTAATAAAAACATAGATATAGTTTGGGCAGAGAAGATTGGTGGTTATCATCCATAGAATTCAGCATACATTTTACTCAGTCATTTTGTATCTCAAATTTGTAAGGTAAAAATTTTTTTAAAAATGTAAATACTATAAAGCTCCTACAATCATTAGCAACTTATTATGTAATATCAGCAAAAATATATGTATATATTATGAATCCTAATTCATTTTTGGGAACATTTGTTTTCTTTTATTTTGCTTACTTTTCTCTTTGAATCTTCCCTTTCAAAATGCAATTAGAATTAAGATGCTAATAGAATATCATTTTGTGTATGCATCTCATTTTTTTTCAAGTACAATTGTAATGTGGACATCTTTAAACTATCATAGAGGGCTAAGTATAATTTATTATTGGGAAATATTTATTTTAATAATTATATGATTTGTTATTAAGATTTTATAAATAGAGCATGAAAGGAAAAGAAAATTTATACCATGGTGAAAATTATGCTAAATAGCCATCCCATTCTTAATGAGATTAGTGGATATAAACCAAGCCTTAAAATGCTATTATTTGATTTTTATTTCTAGTTTGTTATTTTTGAAAATCTGATTTTCAATACTTTTACAGTTTTATTTGTGTTGGGTAATTTATCAATTATTCTGTTTGCTACAGAAACAATTCTATTGGTTTTGTTGACTTTATATTCATTCTTCATATCACTGATGTTTCACTTTGAAAGAAAATATTCTTATGTGTTCTATAGGACAACCATGCCTTCATTTATGAGGCATATTAATTAATATCCTAATTAAGAAAGTCATAATTATAAGCTGAGCTATTAAACCGATTAAATTTGTGTGTGAACATTATGATTTTTGGCTAATCCCATTTTAGGGAACATTTTGTTTATGTAACCAGGTATTTACACCATTACACATATTCTTAAGTGTTTGTGTGTTTGTGTATGTACTTTTATCTTATGTACTTGCGTATATTTTTGATCATTCATTTACACAGTACTTATTACATAACTATTTGCTGTATGACATGGTGTAGTCAAAGGCCTAGGGATAAAAGGATGAAGACAGAAGTCTTCCACTTTTACGTAACTCACAGTTTAGTAAGTGAAGCATGTAAATATTTAAAATATGATGTAATAATAATGGAATTGTGTGCAGTTGTGTGAATGTCTGGTTTTAATAGCTGTCAGAATTGAAAAAGATCCCACATAAATGAAAGAAATGTAACGTTGGCTGTTTAGCAAATCATGATTCTTTTTCAGTCCTGTCTATTAGCTAGTTGAAATCAGTAATTGCTGTTTGTCCTGATGTCAAGTAGTTGTTCCTACAAACCAACTGGAAGGTTTATTTTTGAAAGTTTATAACAAGTTCAAAACCTATTAAAATTCTTTGTTTAATAGATTTTAAAGAAGATAAAATTTGTTCTCTTTTTGAACTGTGCTGATATAAAAGTATTTTATTTTATTATACTTTATATTATTATTTATATTATATTATATTTTATATTATATATATTATACTATATATAATATCTATATTATTTATAAATAAAAATATATAATATTTATATATAATATATATATTATATAAATCTAGAAATATATAAATATATATATTTATATTATTTATAAATAAAATATATATTATATATGATATATATATTATATTATACTAAATATTTATATTATTTATATTATACTTTATATTATACATATTATACGTGAAATAAATACATAAATTTATTTCATGAACTTATTTTTGACATTTTTCAAAATTCTTTCTATATAACATGAGTTTATTTCATAAAGCAGTTATTTTCACATTTGTTGTCAAAATATTATATTTATCTTGAAGGGAAGACTATAATTGTTTTCTAACATTTCCTAGTAAATATAGCTACCTTTCATCAAAGAGAAGGTAAGCAAATTTAGAGTATTAGAGCTTTTGTTTAAAGTGTATCATTTATCTTTTTTAAATGTCTTATTACCAGATAGCCAGCAAACTGCTGTGTGAAACCATAGATTTAGGGATACTCCTGGTACCATAAAGTTTATATAAAAATTCTATTTATGATAATATATAACATAATATACAAATATATTTAGCCAGGAACATAGAAATTGGAATCTATTGCAGATAACTGAGTAAAAACTGAAGGAAAAGTAGAAAATTTTAAGAATTTGTGGTCATTAAGTCAGATGCCAAAGAGAGATACTAAGAAATATTTCTTGGTTTTATCAGTTATATAAATTGAGACCTTAGAAAGAGCAATGAAGTGGCATGACAGAGAGATAAGAGTGAGTTAATAAGACAATTGGTGATGACGTAAAGAAGAGTCAAGATTACACTTTCAAAACTGCTTACTGTAAAGGCTGTAATAAAGTGGATGTACAGAGTCAGGGAAAGTGTTTTTTTTTTAAATGGAAGAAATGTAAGCATCTCAATTAAAATAAAAGGAAGGGAAAGAGCTAGAGATGAGAAAGGTAGAAATACATATCAAAGTTATGGCAGAACTTTATGATAGTAAAAAATACATTTTTTCTTTGAGAGTGGTATGAAAGAGGGTAAGATGGATACAGATGCAGTTTATAAAGTGACTGAATCAAGTTGAGGGGAAAAGGGAGCTGAAGGAGTCAGGTGTAAAGGTTTAAACAGACATTGACAAGGGAAACATTGTCCCTTCCCTTTGTTTCCCTCCCCTTCTTGTAGCATTAGCGGCCCACCCCTGGAGAATGTTGTTAGGTGGTTTCTAGTTGTTTTTCTAATTCCTTAACTATATTTAAAAAGTACTAAATTGATATTTGTAAAACTAGTTAACTAGGATTTAATCTAAAACTAGTCTCTAATTTAACTTTTTATGAAACATGTGTAGTATAAATTTAACAGATTGTTAAATTCTATAAATTTAACAGATTGTTTTATGTTACTCAAATTTGTAAATACTACCATATATTTTGCAAATTAATTGGAGACCCAATTTTATATTCTATATACTTAATATATATAATAAGTATACATAAATATATTATAGAGTATTATTTTATATTATAGTAATACATGAAAAAGCTTTGCTTTGAAGATATGTGTTGAAGTAATAATAAGCCTTTTGACCTTGGAGGAAAATGTCAAATGAGGCCTGGTTTTATTTTTTATATCTTGCTGTTTTTTTCAATATTATTATTATTTTTTTCCTTCACATATAATTGTATGTAAAGAAAATATCTCTCAGACTCAAAGCTTTTCAAGAGTCAAGGGCTTAGTCTATTTAATGTTAGACATTTATCAGAAAATATTTTCTGAAGAGGTCCCTGTTAAGCATATAAATATGATTTATTTTCTGTATTGTGAAGGTAAGAGAACTTATCATTTGAATAAGAATTTTTAAAATGTACGTAATATTTACCATTTTAACCATTTTTAAGTTGGCATTAAGTACATTCACATTGTTACGCATCAGTCACAATCGTCCATCCCCAAAGCTTTTTCATCTTCCTAAACTGAAGCTTCATATTGATGAAATAGTAACTTTTCATTCTTCTGACTTCCCAGTCCTGGCAACCACCATTCTACTGTGTGTCTTAAGAATTTGACTACTCTTTGTATCTCATGTAAGTGAAATCATACAATATTTGTCCTTTTGTTACTGGCTTATTTCACTTAGCATAATGTCATCAAGGTTCACCCATATTTTAGCATGTGTCAACATTCCCTTCCTTTTCAAGGTTGAATAATATTCTGTTTTATGTATAGACCACATTTTAAAAAATATTGTAATATAGTTGAAATACAATATTATATTTGTTTCAGATGTACAACAAAGTGATTTGATAATTATATACATTAGTATATGTTCACCTCTATAAGTGTAGTTTGGTAACTAACACTGTCAACTAAACCACATTTTGTCCATTGATCCTTGTATGAACATTTGGGTTGCTTCCACCTTTTGGCTATTGTGAATAATGTTGATATAGACATAGATGTACAAATACCTATTTTTAGTCCCTGCTTTTAATTTTTTGGATATATACCTACAAGTAGAATTGCTGGGTTGAATAAGACTGAATTCAGAAATTAGTGAATGCTGCTAATGATATTTCCAAACCAAAAGCTAAGAAAACCTGAGAACCCAGAAAAGTGAAGGACAGCAGTTTACTTTTGTCTGAGGCCAAATTCTCACAAAATTAAGTTAAGGTTTTCATAGCTTTGTGGGGAAAGAAAGAAAAAAAATCAGAACCAAGTCCAGAAAACTCAAATGAAGTTTTAATAGCTTATGAGGTGATGAAAGGTAAATCAAAGCCCATGGTCTTGCTTATGGTAGGGAGGTCAAATCAAATCTTCCCCATATTTAGCTGGGACCACCCTTCTCCAAGGGCTACACCCTCACAGTAAATGTAGATCACAAGAAAAAAAGTTTCCCCTTTCCCACCCTTAGGACACCATGGGGAGAATTGACTTGGTGCTAAGTAGAGAAGATAGAAGAAAAAAAGCAAACCTATCTTTGAGGTAGTCTTACCCTGGTGGGGACTTCCACATGGATTTTCATTCCAAATTTGCCCCAGTGAGTCATCCAAAGAATCCCTATTTAAAATGGTTCTGGAATGGTAATACTACAAGATAGATGGCAGAGGCAAATGCAGATTATTTCTGGAGGAAGGC